TATGCTGTTTCCAAAATTCTGGCGGAGTGAATTACGACATGGTGCTCTTTTTCTTACAGATGGTGCCCAACTGACCATCTATACTGTGCAGTCGACAAAATCAAAAACAAACAACGCGCATGTGCGAAATTAAAAATATAAAATTGCAACAATTTACGCATCGCACCTTCTTTGTGTAAGTAAACATATATGTGTGTGTGTAATTCGATTTAAATTACAAAATAATTGCTTCCTAACTACGATTGATTCGCTAGTATAGCTCATTAAAAAGCATTAATAAGAATTTTTTACTACTTTGAATAGTAAAGATTATTTTGTTCTGTTCTCTATTGAGCACTTTTTGCTGGTCCAACCGTATTTAGCCAGTAACATCTACTACTAACTTTTCAAACAAATGTGTCTGCACTCATTATTATTTAGCAGTGTTTATTTTTATCATATATATATATATATATACACTATTTAGTACTAACTCTTCTAATAAAGATGTTTTTAATAAACATCGTGATTTTTTACAATTCTGCCCTTAAAAATAGTGGATACAAAAATACCACTATTCAATATAGAAACCCGGTGAATTACAACCATAAGAAAAAAAGATCTAGAAAGATCATTTGGTTTACTCCCCCTTTCAATATAATAGTTAAAACTAAATTAGGACGTATATTTCTAAACCTCATCAAGAAACATTTCCCCAACCCAGAAACTAACCCACTTAGTAAAATATTTAATCCTAATACCATGAAATTAAGCTATAGTTGTGCGAATAACCTAGAGAAAATAATTAAAAAAACATGACAACAGAGTCTTTAACAAGTATAGGAACTCAAAAAACTTGACCACTCACCAGGTTGCAAGCAGCACTACTAAATATAATGACACGAATAACAACTTGTGCAATTGTAGGAATCCAAACAATTGTCCACTGCAAAATAATTGTTTGACTAGTTCTGTAGTTTATCTTAGTACTATCTCTACACTAGAAAACCCAAATATAAAAAAATTCTACATTGGTAGTACCATGAATCCATTCAAGGAACGTTGGCGGAGGCATATGCAATCTTTTAATGACAGTAATTATAAGTACATGACTTCAGTATCTAAGTATTTTTGGAGTCTAAAAGAAAAGAATAAAACACCTATTGTTAAATGGAAATTAATCAGGAAACCCCGGACATGTAACTCCCTATATGCCCCATGTTATCTTCGTCTTAACGAAAAATTTGAAATAATTAGATTTAAAAGTAAGACCCATTTCTTAAATCAAAAATATGAACTAACAGTTAACTGTAAACACCGTTATAAATTTAATTTATTATAGGGGTTGTAATACTTTCAATGATAATGATATGTCATTGTAAATTTAATAGATTATTATTTTTATTACCTGATTGTCCACCTGTTGATATGGGTTTGTGTTGGTATACGTATACTATGTTGTTCATGTCCGTATGTGTGTGCATGTATGTGTGTGTGTGTGTTCTGTACTGCTAGATGTGTATATATGTATATATATGTAAGTAGGTTTTTTTATATGTATATATTAAAAAGTAAGTAGGTAAAAAAGAGGAGAAAAGAAGAGGAGGATAAGATATATGTATATTTAAGTATATATATATATGTCCAGATGTATTGTGTATTTCTATTTCTATTTCTATTTACATGTACTTCTGTATGTATGGATTTGTTTATGTATGTATGTAGGGATACATGTATATATGTGTATGTATGTATGTGTATATATTTTTATGTATTATATGAGTATGTATGTGTTTATGTGTATGGGCGTATATATATAATTGTAATTATAAGTATATGTATGTATATATATGTATATATATATATGAGTGTGCGTATATGTTGTGTGTGTGTAGACATCTATCATATGTGAGCTTGTTTGTAGGTTTGTAGGTTAACTTTGGTTTGTATCTACAGGTGCGTGTGTATATGTTGTGGATTCCGGGATGAAATCCAGTCTCAAATGAATAACAAACGCAGGAATGAAATATAGCAAATAAATGTATTGACCTAATAATACAATTGGTAATACCAATTAGTAGTAATTAGTAGATCCAGAAATGCGGTTAGTAGCAATAATAATATACATATAGTCTGGGAAATTCAGAGTCTACGTGCTCGCAACTGTGACTCCTACAAAGCGGTTACCTCATACTCTCACTCTCTCACTGTCTCACTGTTTCACTGTTTCACTCCCGGGTATTCACCGGCAGCAGTACAAGTACACACTGGGCGAGTCCACTTGTATACAAAGGGGTGGATCCCTTAACACCCCCCTCCTTAGATCCCTTTTTTGGGTGGGGAGTTAGTATTTTTTTGTCTTATGGTTGATAACCAGAGATTCGGTAAATTTTCTCTTTCTGTTTTAAATGATCTCTTGGGTACAATAGGTGTATACTGGTTTTTGTTCTTGTTTGGTAATAATTTGCAAACACAGACTGTATTTTTACCTTCGCCCTCTGCATAAATTCATCCTTTTCCGCTTGTCTTCTTATCTCTGGCAAAATCACAGGTAGTTCCTGACTTGTATAACTCTTTACTGTTTTCATCTATGGTAGCAAATGGCACATTTCTCTTCTTTTTAAAAACTGGTTGGACGTTTTCTTTTAATTCAATTCTGGCCTCAAATTTGTTGCATCGTCCCCACCCGCTCGAAAATACCTCAGGAAATTGGTTATATAATTCTTCCTTTAACTTTATAGCATCTGATGGTTCAACCTCTAACTTTTTGCAAAAGAGCTGATAGGTAGGTCTCAAACGTTGAACGTTTGCATCCAGTCGATACCTACTAGATTTTCAGTATCTTTCATGACGTAAGTTTTTTTGTTTTTCTCTGAAATTTAACATTCACGATTATTTCTCGTATATACCTACTTATGTGTATATATATATATATATATATATATATATATATGGATATATATGTGTGTATGTGTGTATATATGTATATATATATGTGTATATTTAAGTCTCCGTTGTTTTTGTTTTTTATATATATGCGTGTATTTGTATATGTGTTTGTATATATGTATGTTTAAGATTATATATGTATATATATACATACATATATTTATGTATGTGCATATAAATGTCTGTATGTATGTGTGTATATGTATGTATGTGTATGTATATATATTTATATTTGGTTTGTTTACTTTTTTAAGTTCCTGTGTAGGTTGATATATTTATGCTTGCTTCTGTATATGTATATATGCATATGCGTATGCGTATATGTATGTGTATATATGTGTAGATTTATATATGTGTATGTTTGTATGCGTGTATATGTATATATGTGTGTATATGTTTGTCTATAGTTTGGCTTTTCTGCACTTCTGTCTGTAGTGATAAATGTGTACGTGTACACTGTATACATATATTTGTAGGTAGTTCTTATTTTCTTTCACCTAATGTACAATTAGGTGTATATGTGTGTTTGGAATTTTCGTTTTATATATATTAGATGGTGTTATTTTTATATGTGTATATATAAAAATGTATATATATGTATATTTTAATGTCCTTTCTTTCCCTATTCTTTGTTTCTCTGTTCTATTAGACCATTTTTATCTATGTATATTGGCCCGTATAAGTTATATTTTAATATGTGGTTAGAATTCGTTTAATAATACCTTTAATCGTGAATATTTCTTGAGTGTTATATCAGAGTGTCTATGTCAATGTATGCGGGTATATGTATGTATTTTTTTCGGTGTCTGTGTATGTTAAATTGCATGCACATTTCATTGTGTATATCTGTTGTTTAATTTTTTTACGTTTTATATTTTTATTTCTTTTCTTTTTTTTTGTAAAATGTCGTGCAAATATTTCCTGTCTCGTCACTTTTTTTTGTGTATATAGCTAAATATGTCTGCTTGCTTATGTATTATAATCTGGTTGTGTTTTTATTGTCTTTCGCAAGATGTCATAATCCCATGTCTACACATGTATCCATCAATGTTGTCATTAAGTTAAGGGCAGTCGATCTTAACGTTTATTCCAACGTAATTTCAATAGAAACAAAATGAATAGAATAACATATGTATTTTTTCTTTTTTCCTCAATAATTTTAAAATTTTAAACTTAATATAGATTAAATTTACATTTTTGAAATGGGCATTTTTTAATTTTAATTTCAAATTTTATCGTACAATTTAATATTTATTAGTTAGAATAAATTCTATTTTAGTATAAACCCAAATTTAAAGCATTTAATAGTTATTATAACCTTACATCGTTGTCAAGTTTTTTGAATTCTCGTATACTTTCAGCTAATGTAACAGAGTTTCCCCTTACGGGGTGTGGTTAATTAATTTGAACCTTTTAAAACATTTATTCTACAATATACATTCAACATCATCACTTGATAAGACACCAGAGGTGTTGAAACAAAAGGGCTATTTTTGTAGTGATTTTATAACATATTTATGTTATTATTTCTAAATAGATAATTATATTCGCTCTATCCTTTATTGAGCACTCTTTTAAGAATAGTAATTGTTGGTTATTGGAATTTATTCCGTATAGACCAATCATATACTTGGATATTTATATCCTATACATACATACATACATACATATATATATATATATATATATATATATATATATATATATATATATATATATATATATATATCATTATTTCATATAATATATATATAGATATAGGATTAATGCAATCGAGTTTCGTAGATAGTTTCGTAGATAAACACTTCAACAATCGATTCGCCTATTCCTCAGGATATGTATATATATATGTGTGTCTGTCTGTCTGTGTGTGTGTGTGTATGTCTGTGTGCATGTGTGTGCGTGTATATAATTTCAAAGAATGGATGAAAAATAGCTAAATTTACAAATATACTCTTGTTGTATTATATAAATACGAAAAGGTTGAGGTATAGATTGACAGTTTAAGACAGGGATTAATAGATTAAATTATATTGAAGCAAACAGATTGATGTTAATGGCAATTAAAATACTGCGACAGCTCAATCGATCGATCGATAGATAGATAGATAGATAGATAGATAGATAGATAGATTATAAAAGCAAAGAGCATTGCAAGCAGACCAGGTGGATGGTTACTGATAGAACTCTAAGCCTTCAAGTCTCATTATTGGTTAATTTATAGGAGTGGGATTTATGTTCTATGAAAATGCGGATGTACATAATTGTGTCAGTCAGATGTGAGGAAATAATTTCGCAAACCTCCTTCCAGATAACATATTGGATCTTTTGATTCTCTTTGTGAAAGATATTTACGCACATTTATGTTGTCAACATTTTACATAGACTCGGTTGGAACGCTTTTCAGCGGAAATTGTAGGCCAAAACTGATTCAATTCCGCTTACTTGTCGTTATCTATTGAGAAATATATGAAATGAGACTCTAACATTTTGCTACGACCTTAATCATTAGCACAACACACAAATGATGAATGTGGCAAGATCAGAAGCATTTTTTTTGCCTTTTTTTTTCCTCGGGCCGAATAAGGAATTTGACTAATGTGTAAGTGTGATGATGAGGGAATACTTTACCGAAGACATATTTTAAAATATCCCGAATCTAAGATTAGAGAACTATTGGAAATATTCACAAGGCAGACATTTTCTGTTCAAAGATCGAAATCTGTTGAAACCTGTTTAATGGTTGAAGCATTTTCGTATTTGTCATCGACACCAGAGATCTGTGCTCGCATTTTTAAGATCTTGAATGATCATTTTCTGGGCAAGTAGACTGTTCTCATTTGACAACTTGATGTGCCGTAATGTTCTTACCGAGCATTTTCCTTGTTTCACTTTGTGCCCAATAAAGATAGAAAGGAAAAAGCGGAAATGAGAATTATTCAAATCAATGAATGGAAAAAAAGTAAGCCTGGAAAGTTAAAAGAACACTTGCAATTCATTTTTAAAAGGAAGAAAAATAAGTGTAATGGGGAAATAGATAGAAAGTGTTCTAAAGAAACTTGCATAATCACCAATGTAAGCCATTAGTTAGATGAACACTTAGTCGGTGAAATAATAATTAAAGTAATTATAATAATTCAGTCAACTGCTGGAATAAAAATGAGAATTGATGTCGTTTGATTTCCAGATATTGATCAACAGATATTGAAAAGTCCATTAATAAAAAAAAAAATTAAAAAATCTCAGAGAAAGAAAAATGTTGCCTGTGCGTATATATATATATATATATATATATATATATATATATAGAGAGAGAGAGAGAGAGAGGGGGGGGTGAAAGTGTCGGTCATTTCATTGAATGTAGCATAATAGCCGAGAAGAATAATGAACGTAGACATGACTGAGTAGAAACGTTGAATCAAGAATAATTGTGCAAGCGACTGAAATTTGAATTTGCAGCTTCGTGGCATAAAAATAGTTCAGAAACTGACGTAGAGGCTCGAAAAATAAAATTTTAGGTTTTCAAACAAATCACAAAATCTTGTAACCAAATCTTGCTATTAAAAATGATCTATCCGATCATGGAAGTCGACATCCATAAATAAATAGACCTTGTAAATGAATTAAAATAAAGTGACGGTTATATTAGGTGTGTACATCAATACCTTTTCTTTTGAAAGCTAGTAAGTGAATGCACAGTTTAAAACCAGTTTGGAGTATTATGCATTCAGTGTCCATTCATCTTGTGTTAAGAAAAAAAAAGAAAGAAAAATGGCGTCGGACCAGATACATAAATGATACTGCATATTGTTAGTTTAAAGTTGGGCAATGTAACAACAGAAGGGAAGATGATTGATGAAACCTATCTAGATGGTTCGTTTGGAAGGTTTGCGAAGATCAAGAAAAACGATGGACAAACTACGCAGTGGTAGACCACAAGAATTCTGAAATTATGACTTGCAATCACTTTTTGAATGATGACCCCACTCAATCAACGTTGGAATTGGTTGAAAAAGACATTATCGATCACTCAATAATTGTAAGACGTTTGCAAAGTGTGGAAAAGTTTATAAGAGCAGGAAACCTGGTTCCCCGTAAACTGTCAACGCGAAGAAATGGACAATGTCTCACCAATTGCATTTTACTTCTTAAAAAGAAAAGAAAAAATATTGCATGAGGAATTTTTTTTCTGTAAGGATGATTGTCATTGAAGATTAAAAGTGTATTCAATACATTAATCCGAAAAGTTGAAAACTATGTGTGGATTCAAGACAGTCAGCATTATCAACAGCAATACCGAGCATTTTTGAAAAATATAATTTTTCTCCCTCTATGATATATATATATATATATATATATATATATATATATATATATATATATATATATGGAGAAGAATTTCTAAAGCCGTAATAGATTTTTATTTATTAATCCGACATATTTTTATCACTTGAAACGTTATTTTTAGTGGATATGTAATAAATAAATATACTGTGTAATAAATAAGTGGAGCATCTACTCAAATAGGGAGTATCCACTGAAAATAACGTTTAAAGTGATATATATATATATATATATATATATATATATATATATATATATATATATTACTGAAACCAAGTGAAACTGTTAATAGTGAGGGTTCTATTATAGAATTAACAGAAAAGGGAACCTGGAAAGTCATACAATACTCGCCCACACGTTGCTTTGTTGAAAAAAAAAAACATAATTGAATTAATATGGAAAAATATTCCTCACGTGAAATCATGTCGATCAATGCAGCAGCATTCCTTATTTAGTCAAGACTTAAGATATCTCCGATATTCAAAGACTCATTGCAAAAATACCGGATCCCATCTTGATAAAATGATTCCAGTTTCGACAACTGGAATCATTTTATGAAGAGAGGATTCGGAAACATCCGGAACATTGGCGTAATCTCAAAGAAAGTCAAAAAAATATTCTGATTATTAACACACACACACACACACACACACATATATATATATATATATATATATATATATATATATATATATTTTAGTTTATATGATATATTTATGGGCTAAAGTGCTCAATATCAGGGATAGAGCTTATGTAAATATAAAAGTGGACAATGAAGTCAACATCCAGAGGCGACAGTCTGTCCAGAAAAAAGAAAATACTTGTACGAATGCAAGAAAAGTTTAATAAAACGTTAGTCACAGTGTCACATTAGTCGTCTTCAATGACACTTGTATAAAAAGGAAATTACTTCCCAAATAGGCAATTACACACACACACACACACTCACATACACATATATAGATATAGTTATTATTAACTATTATATATATATATATATATATATATATATATATATATATATATATATATATATATATATATATATATATATATATATATATATATATATATATTTATTATTGTGTCTTTGTTTTCCTCAGGTTAAAACGAACGAAAGAAAAAACTGCCTTTGAGGAAGTGGGAATCATAAATAAAGTAAATGAATTAACTTTGCTTATCATTCATTTTAATCTGAGGAAGCCAAAGGAGGTGGCGGTGGGGGTGCATACGCTCTCTCGGCGAAATGCTGCGTTAATAAAATCTTCTACTTTATCTAATCATCTTCACTTTTGTTTCGGTTACCATTATACATCCTACAAACACACTTACTAGTTATTATTAATTAACTAATTTCCAGTTTTAAAAAAGTCCTAGAAACTTTTGCACACAACTAAATTGTAGTTTAATGGGAACACATAAAAAATGGTTCCGAGGAGATTTCAGGAAAGATTGATAAATTCAAAATCGCAAAAAGAATTGATAATGCACATCTTTATTCGAAAATCATCTTTGTCTAATGTTGTTGTTGTTGCTGTTGTTGACGATGATGATGATGATCAGCATAATCCTTATCCTCTCCGGGGCAACATCTGTCTTCATCAACAAAGACAGGCAGCCTCGTTTTCGTTCTTGTGTTTTTTGTCTTACTCTCTCTCTCTCTCTCTCTCTCTCTCTCTCTTTCTCTCCTTATCTCTTTTGCTGCAACCAGACTCAATCCATCACCGACGAAACGAGACTTGACGAAAACTACGATGTATTGGGTAATTACCCAGTGGTGACATGTTCATCTGTATTTTGCTCTACAATAGAGTGCAACCAAAACAGGGTGACGACGCCTTTGTGACTTTCAATGCCGAAAGTTCCGATAAAAATTTCTTATATTTTTCTTTCCTTCTTTATTTATCCCCTTCTTTAGTTATTTTTCTTTTTTCGTCCAGTTTTGTTTCTTTCCTTTTTCGCCTTTCTGATCTTTTTTGTTTCTTTTTCTTTGCTTACGCTTTTCCTTTTTTGTTGTCTTTTTGCCTTTTTTCTTCAACTTTTTAAAATATATTTTTCTTTCTTTTAATCGTATATCAAAATTATTATTTTTGTTTATTACAGACCTTTACTTATTTCCTGTACACGTATAAATAATATTCTCTATAACCTATTAAGCGTTTAAAGGCTAGTGACATGTCCCTCGAAATCATGCCCACAAGTGGATGACAAACAGTTGTCGATTATGGTATTTTGAAAACCCGATTATCATCATTTGAAAACGATTAGGTGAGTTAGGATCAACGAAAGATACAAATATATAGAACATTACAGAAGCTTCTGAAATGAAAATATTTTTGATGCAGCCAATATTTTTTTTTTTTTTGCTTCTCAGTCTTTTATTTCTGCATTTAAACAATTTTCCTGAGAGAAATGTTTTTTCTCGCAGATTCTCTTTTAATTCCTATCGTTTCTTCTTCATCATCTAGTCTTATAAAGATCTTATTAGCTTTCACGTTTAATTTCAAAATTTAACGACAAACTCGAATTAAGTTTCGACATGTAAAAAAAAGTGAAATTGACTGAAGATGTAAAACATTAAAAACAAGATAATTTAAAATTTGTGTGCGAAATATATATATATATATATATATATATATATATATATATATATATATAATGACTCAGGGAGTATATGCAAGCACAAACATGTCTATATATATTTATCAAACAGAGAAAGCAGCATTTACAACTTCTGCAGGAATTTGAATAACAACAGAGAAAATGCAGTGGCAAATATGCTGTCATTTCAGCCACTGGCCAAGGTCA